CGTTTGGTTCACACCCATGGCACCCCACCAGAGAAACTGGCTCAGGAGGTTAATGATGCTCAACTGGAGTAACACCCTGTTCGCCGCCGCTGACGAGAATAACCCATCCTCAACCTGCCATTAAATGCCTGGTTTTGTAAGAGGATCAAGAAAAAACAGGACACTTCTACATGGATCTTTTTCTTTGCAATACTAATCTCTACAGTGAAACATTCATAACTGCTCAACAGAGTAAAAATATGCTACATCAAAACTGTACCAGAAAAAGCAGAACCCCTGTAACAGCTGGAGAAAAGTTTGCAGATAAAAATCAGAATTAAACAGCTAGCTTAAAAATATGCCACTGAAAACATATGAGAAAATAAATACTGTTGTCCTTTCTCTACCGTTTGGCAGACATTGGAATTGGTGCAATTCACAGGCTCTCATCTTCTTGTTCAGTGTTGCTGTTGGCATCTCAGCGTGTCGTCTCACCGAGGAGCAGAAGGGGCACGGTCCCCCAGTCAGACAAGCACAGGGTTACGTCCCCGTGACAGCAGGAGAGCTGGGAGCATGCTCAAGTGCTCACCTGAAGCAGGTACTTGACTCTTCTGAATTAAGCATTGTGTATTACACTCGAACAGGAAACACGCTGCCTTCCGTCTAAATTCTCATTACAAACCACCGTAGAAGCAAGGACACCCGCTTGGTATCAGTATGAGAAGGCTAGCGCACTGAATACTGAGAACTACGCTGTTCGTATGATTGAGTGAATTGCAGGTCCATATAAAATACAGAAAGCGAAGACATTTGTCTGCTCTCCTGGGAAGTATATACTGTTTGGATGGCAGACAAACTACCAATGAAGACAGGTTCCAAACTAACAGCGTTTCCCAAGGAATTAATTTACAAAGTGCCACTGGTCCTTGGAACCAAATATAGTGTACAGTATATTACAGCGAACACAAGCTCTGCAGCTTGTGTTGGCCCATCTCTGCACTATATACAGAAGAAACCGAATGTTCAGACTCTTTACAATAGACTCCTTCCCTTTTTATACAAAGGAAAATAAAAACATAAGTTAAAACAGCAATAAATAAAACTACAGAACGTGTGTGTCCTGGTCAGCCCCCTTTGTGCATTCCAATCAGACTGGAGAGCTTCTCACAGTGCTCAAGTTTCAGTGATTCTGCTTTCTGTTTTAACCGCTCATCTCTGTACAGCTTGGCCAAATTTGACAAATCAGACTCTGAAAGATGAAAAAAAAAAATATATATTAGGATGAAGTCATGAGCCTACTTTACATAACTGTTTGTCAGTGCTTTGTCATCCTCGTGGCATGTTTTTTTTTAATTCACCTTGTTTCAGTGAAACTGGGCATGTTAACAACTTTCTTTAAAGACAGGCCATCAGGTTTAACCAGGCTAGCTACTTAAGAAAACCCTCTCTTACCAGTGCACTAGTAGGACAAGACCTGAGACTGATTATTACTGTCTACAAAGAAAACACAAACTATAAAAATATAGCTTAGAAGTCACGTAAGATTTAAAATTATGTTAATGATCTAAAGAATACGTGATTGCTTTAGAATATACGTATATATTTAAACTAACTGTGCACAAAAAGGGGCTAGTAGGATACCATTTGATTTGCTACCTGTCTTAGGCGATACCGCTATTGACATCTGAGTTGGATCTCATCTCCTCGTGCACTGGTCCTCACTGAGGTATCACCAGGCACAGACTGGGACTGGTGGAGGGGGTTACTCTACCCTTACCAGCGGTATTTAAGCGACAAGCCAGAAGGACAGAGAGCCTCATGACTACTTTTCCTATCGCTGCCTTGGGGCTGTGTCAGCTGCCTGCAGCCTCATAAGCTCAGCAGAACTACAAGACATACACCCCTGCCCACCTAACTGAGAAACGCAATTCTTTTGGCAGATCCATTCTGGAAGGACCCAGAGCACCCATCCAAATATATACTTTAATGTATAGATAGTTGGTTTTTTGATGTTGCACTTCTGAGAATACAAACTCTGTCTGGTTTGCCCAGACGGCATTATAATTATAAATTCTTTTTTTTTTTTTTTTTTGGTATTGATTACAGGAAGGTGAACAGCTAGTTGAGGGACGTGTCTGAAAGGCCTCTGTGCCCGTTCATTAACAATTCAGTCTCGAATGTACTTTGCGTATTTTTTCCCCTTCTTCTCAAAACTGAAATAATCCCATTGTTTAAATTATTTCCCCCCAATAATTCAGAGAAGTTTCTTTTGCTGATTAGCTAAGGAAGTCTTAATATAGCTTTCTCCTTGAAGAATAATTTAGATCCAGGATTAGATGCACCTAAGAGAACAGCAGTAATTTGTTTCTGAAAAGGTCAAAATTTCCCTAAGCACAGGCTACCTGATGACACTCAATTTTTCAAAGAGCTTTTATATATCTTACAAGTCCCTCATTTTACAAAATCGTTCAGAGTGGAAAGAACTTCAATAGGTCCTTTCATGCCTTACGTCCTCTGTCCCTGTCCCACTGAAATTTAAAGCCATTTAACCCTCCACCTATTTATTGAAAAGCTTTACAAACTGACAGGCATAAACATTTTATTTTAGATCAGAAATAAATTTTCAGGCTTTATAACTAAAATGCCACTCAAATGGTGCTGGGCACACAGCCTTGACAAGCCTTCAGCAAAACTAGACTCGGGTAATTGTCCCCTAGTCCAGAGTCCCTGGAGTTCTGCAGCGAAGAATCTTAGTCTGCACTTACCCAACTGGGCAAAAATATTCACTGCAAATGCTTGCACTTTTGACAGCATTCATCCTGTCACATTGGTTTCTTATGTTTTTCAATCTTTTACATAGAGTTGTTCCTTTGTAGTTTTTAAGGAACTCCTAAAATACCTAATTCCAACTACGTATCCTTCTTCTTTCTGTTTTCAGTTGCCTCTTTGTAATTTTCTCTGACTTAGAGCTCTTTGCAGTCTTACTTTACAATCGTGCTATCACAGCCGAACAATCTCCTGTAAAAACCTGGGACGTGCCTTTTGTACTCAACTGTGTCAAAGATTTCAGAAGACCAAAAACTACACCATATGCAACTTTTACACACTATTCTGCTGTGAAGGGAGGAACACTGGTCTACTGCAGCAGTATCAAAGTGACAAGATACCCGACAGATCAGTTACTTTTGAAGTTTTCATTAAGGTAGTTGGACACCAGGTAACACTTCTCAAGTCATAAAATCAAGGACTTTAAAAATCAAACTGTTCCTACATAATTCTGTCCATTTTGCTGGTGCTAAAGAGAAATGCACTCTCAGTAAACAAAACAAACATACTATTAATAGACATTCAACTGACAAAAAAAAAGTTGACTATATGAAGTTAAACAGTTAAACAAGAATTAATGGACCAAAGTTATGAAGCAACAGCTGACTAAGAACTGCCTCAACATCTCCAGAGAACTTCTCCCCAGCACTCCATCTTGTATTCACAGTTTATTTTTATAAACTTGGCTATACTAAAGTTAGCACAGTCTCAGCTGTGCTCATTACCTGCTGGCTGGCCTAGACGGTAATCATTCTGAAAATGTTTTTTTTTAATTACAGTGGTCTCCTCAGACTACTGCTAATTGTGGACGTTGTAAATACATTTGCAGATGTGCTACTAATAAAGTCTCTAAGTGTAAAAAGCTCCAGAGAAACATTGTTTTGCAGGCATTACTTGGCATTCAATGCTGGATCATCTCCCCTTCTCTGACTACCAGTTTCTCTTAGACTTGCAAACCCTGTTGCCCATTTTGGGGCACGACACTCCTTAGCTCAAGGTCTACTTGAGCTATTGTGAAAGACAATATAGCGACTTTCAGTTGCACAAGGTCAATTAAAAGGATTTTTTGGTAAGAAATAAATTCTATCCCTATAGCAAGCCTATGCACAACACCTGCATTTATGGTTATTAACAGCCACATTAGACCTAGAGGCCACTACTGCCAGCCACAGATGCTCTGAGATCACAAGACAAGCACACCAAAACCTAAGGGATTGTTTGGGATTTTTATGGTCTTATATTACAGGTTCTTTCCTTTTCTTTTCTAACTTCAGAGACTACATCTGTATATTCCTATTTAAAAGCAAGATTGGTAACTTCTATGTAAAATAAAACAGTCTCTGGATGAAAACAAAACAACCCTTCCCATCAAAAAACCTGTAAATAGTCTGGAGTCAGCAACAGTATTGTTACCTCTAGCACAGGATTAAACAAGTCTTGTTTAGACAAAGCGTATGCTTCCATAATGATGCCATTGGTAAAGAAACTGTAAACAAGTGCGAAGTCATTTTTTAGTAGTGTGCCGAGGACTGTTTTACATGGAGCAATTTAGAAAACCCTACTAGTGTGTGAAAGCAGCTTGCCTGCTACTATTAAGCATTTACACAGAAACAACTTCTTCCAGCTTCCTTTATGCACAGCAGTAGTTTGTGTTTACTCATTTTAAGGTGATGAGTTCTTTAGCTGAAAAAAAATCAGTCACAACATCCCAACTTCAGCTAGTCCTCGTAATTTGATTTCTGTTACTTTGCACAGTTGTACAGTTGTAATTTGTACAGTTGTTACTTTGTACAGATTTGCTCTATTTTAAACAAACTAGAAGACTAGTAATTAACAAATAATACAATACGGGGTTAAAATACGTGCCTTTATACGTGCCACTGATCGACTCAGGACTGACTTGAGAATAATGATTTTGAATGCTCACAGTTTTGTGTCCTCCCTTTCAGCATTCAATTCTTGTTTTTAAAAGACAATCTTGACTATGGCGAAAAACATGATCTCAAACTCATCCAAAGATAGAAAATGCAAATAAGCACACAAAACAAGTACAGAAGCACGCTCTTTGAAAACTGATACCAGTAATGCAGTCCACTGCAAGACTACCAAAAGCACCTGAATAGGCTATGGGCTCTCCTTCTGATGAAGTTTTGAAGAAAAAGTTAAATAATCTTCTCAGGGAGTCAGTCGGAGCAAAAATGATTCTGCTTCAGCAAAGGAAACATGGAAGAGGTGATGTCTCAAGACCTTTTCTAGCCCTAACAATCTGTCACAACTAGATAAATGTGGTGGATTAGACATTTAAAACATCACCACCAAGAGTTATTCAAGCATAAGAACTGAGTGGAAAAAAATGTCTCAAATGGTGAAATCTACTTCCCCCTTGTCTCTCAGAATCACCTAAAATGAATTTTGACAGACCTTAAGAATAGCAAATTCAGTGTTAAGAGCAGATGTGAGAAATACCAGTGCAAGGTTTGCTTATAACTATAAGCATCAGAAAATGAGGCTAAAAATGGCAGTGCTTTGTGAAGCATAGCCATCATACAACTACTGATGGGTTGTAGGCACAACCTGTAACAAAAATAACTTACTTTGCTGTTTCTCCTTCCAGCAGCTGGTCTGAATATAGTCTATGTAATCTTTTTCAATGGTTTTCTCTAGCTCTTGAAGTTCTGCTCCTTGATAATTCTTTTCAAAGTTTTTATCAACATAGTAAGGCACCTGCAAGTTCTCTGTTTCTCTACTAATAACATGGCCTATGGACCTGTGAAAACATCATGGAGAAAACAGATTTTTTAGCAATTCAAATATAAAGAAATCAAGAAATGTTTCTCCATATGAGCATTTCCAGAGGACAGTATCTACAACAACTTCTTTACAGTTACTTTCTGCAGGACTTTAGCTCCCTCAACCATCCAACAAGGAAATTACAAGTCTCAGGCACAGCAAGCTGTGCACTACAAACAGAATTCACCCCCACACACACTTAAAAAACACGGGAAAATATCTAATATTTGGAGATATCTACACAAAACTGACTCCAAGCTGACACTGTTCCTTCCAAATACTGTGCTTGTTCTCAACAGCTCAGTCAAGACACTTCCAAAACATAAGAGCAAATTTTATCTGTGAACAGAAGCTCCACACACTTTCTTCTGTTTGCTGGTAATTTCTGGCAAGCTAGGTCCAGAAATCCACGGGAACTGGTAACAAATGTAGAGATTATAGGAAAGGCATACGGCCCCAGTATTGCTCAGGGCACAATGCAATTGGATCTGGATTCTCCCGATTTCTGGATCCTTTAGTAGAAATAAAAATTAGCAGGGGAGATTCTAGTTACACTTTCCTTTAGGGTTTTGTAATCATCAGTAAGCGAAGTGGGGCATGGAATATCAAATATCACAAAGAATATCCTGCAGGTAGAATTAGCCACTCTGACACAGCCATTGGATTAAACTATACTCTTACAGTTTTTTGAATTCCCTTATTTGAGCAAAGATACCCAGCTGTTTTTTCAAATCACTGCCCAGAGAAAGAGGCAGGCAGCCAAAACACAAAGGTTACACTCTACTCAATGGAATCTAGTTTGCCCCTTCTGTTTCCTGGACGCCTCTTTTCCTTCTCTCTTGCTATGTCTCAGAGGTCTCTTTATATAAACAATTTCTTTTCATTTTTAGGCTGTTAGTTTTTTTAAGGATATGATTTAGAGAAACAGCAAAACTGTGTACCAGGCTCAGGCCTGACTTTCTCAAATCAACAGAAGGGGAGGTAGTGAAGAAAAACGGGAGAGATTAGCTGCTCTGGGGGCAGTGTGGGAAGTTTCACATGGGACTGGCAGATAGCAAAAACACTCTCTTAAAAAAAAAAAAAAAAAAAAACCACCCCCCCAAAAAACAACCACTCTCCTGTTTTTATGCCAGGTCTACACACTGACATCTTGTGGTAAAAAACGATAAAAGGTGTTGGGCTACTACGACAGTGGAGAGGATATGGGCCTAAACCTAAGTAGTTTTACTCCTAGAAGGGAGCAAGGGGAGCGTTTGGAGCACTCTGCTACTGCTGTGTGCAGCAGGTTCTCCAAAACTTGCTGACTCCCACTCCTATCTCAGTAAGAGCTGGTGAAGGCGACTGAACTGAGCTCTTTCCCACCAGAGAGCTTCCCTCCTCCTGACACTGGATGCTGAAAGGAGCAAGTGGGTTTTCCTTTGCCCCACAACCTCAGGTTACGGCAGGTCTGTTGGCATTCCTTCTGCTTCCAGAGCTGACCAGTTCAGTTTGCCCTCTGCAACCCCGGGGTCCTGCTTCTTTACAGATGCTAAACTAGGGCATTTCAAGGCTTTAATGATTTGTGGAGCTTCAGAATTCTTCCAGTGGAATTCAGGCTCCAGAGCACATTTGAATTTATACTGCGAACCGCTGGCTTAATTTTTTAATTGCTTTACATAGGAACCTCAGCGGTGGTCCGCAGATCCCTGGGGCTGGGCAGACCAGAGGCTGATCAGCACTGTAGCTGAGCTACACCCACGTTCCTGCTACTGCATCACTGTGCAAAAACATTTCACACCAGTTGAGAAAGCTTTCTGGCTCAGTGCCTCTATTTGTTCAGCACACAGCACAATAAAGCACACCATAGTTAACTTCACAGCGATAGTGCTTAGGAGAACTCGTCAATAGAGACGGTTGGCATCTCCTTATTTACAAATTGATAACACTTTCTAGAAAGAGCAGAACAGAATACTAATGTGCATTTTGCTATCAAGTCCAACTTCCCGTCTACCTCCTTATCGCAAACACCGAACACCAGAAAAATGTGGTTTTAAATGACTTACGATTTGTAGAATAGGCTGTAGGGTGGGTTTGTAGCCATCAGCTGAGTTATAACTGACACTACTATTATTATGAAAACTGGCATCAACTGAATAAATGCAGAATATGAATTCTGAAAAGAACAACAATAATTAGTAGTCAAGAAAAGATACAGATGGAGAAGGATGCATCTGTTCACAGAAACCAGGCTATCTATCATAGATCAACAATGTATTAAATGTAAACCAAAAAGAAAATAAGAGGAAGTAGTTTCGAATTTTGAGAGGGATGACATTTTAACTTCATTCAAAATAACCTTTATTAATGATCTCAGAAAACTCTTTAAAGCCATTTTTTTTCAATTGTATTTTCATGACATTTCTTTCATCTACAGCTTCCTTCACAAGGCCATAGATGCCCACAGCACTGTACCTGTCAGTGACCAGCTGACAATCCAAACTGCAGGAACACACTGCAATTCCCATTTGTGCCTACGGCTTTCCATGCATCTTGTGAAGTTTGCTACATGCATTCTAAAAATCTCAATCTCTGTTCAAACACTGGATAAAATGGCTGAAAAGTAAAGGGTTAAGTGACCATATGTAGTGTAACTTGGGACAGGATGCAAGCACTTGGTTTTTTTGTTTGAATGAATTTAGGAGAACAAAAGAGTGGAAAAAAAAAAACAAAGGACCAAAGAGTTCTGATAGCCATAGAGAAAACACAGATCTTTCTTCTGCTCTTCATGTAATTTTTAAACCGCCCTTCTAAAATGCCTTTTCTTATCAGAAGCAAAATACAACATGCAGCTATTTAGATTTTGCTCTCTGCCCTGGGACAGCAGCAAGAATTCCTGACGCAGTAGTAGGTGGGATGCATTTGCCCTAGCTTAGCTGTCTATAAGCTGTATCAAGGTTTTTTCAGAGCCCGACTTCAAGAGACTCGCAGGGAAAAATTCATCTTCCTTGGAGGACTGCCTCTGGAGGAAGATTTTTCCAAGGCAGGTGGCATGTGTGTATGTGCGCTAGCAACAGATGACACCTTGTGTCTCATCTGGAGGTTTCAGTTGGTAGAAAAGTATCCCAGACCCATCCTGCCCCGGGCTGGAAAACACCTGTGCAGCACCTGGGCAGAAACTCTTGTGCTTATTTACTGAAGGATTAAATATGCCATGAGGTCAAGCCAGTGCTTCCGTATCCATTATCAGTCCACATTTGGACTAACTGTTCTTGGCTTACCAAACCATTAGAGCTTGCAAAAAGCAAGCACCAGCAAAACACTCGGTGATAGAAACTCCAGGGCCTGTAATCCTATCAATACAATGTATTTTTAAAGTAGTGATTAATAAAAGACAATCTAGTTACTTTTGAAAACATCCATTTTGGCTGCAGCACTTGAGGATAAACACTGAGCGTTTGTCCTGGCTTCAGATGTGTAAGTGGACCCCTCACCCTGGTGAAATATTTAAGCCCAAGAGATCCCTCCTCCTGGCTACCTGTGGCCTGTTTTCTTCCTCCTCTTGCTCCTGCGTCCATGCTCTTTCATTTCGGTGCCTCCGTGGATAATAGTGCGCATCTCTGGCTACATTTGAGAACATATGGATATTTCCTGTTAAAAGAAACCAAGAGAGAGTCATGATTTTCATCCAGTTGCTGGTACTCACCTGTATTTCTCAGAGTTTCTAGTTGATTATCCAGGCTTATATTACACGGCCTGAATTACAGCTGTGAGACTGGAGATTAAAAAACGCAAAGACACCTCAGATTTAAATGTCAAAATAATACGTCGTTCCAAAAAGTGTACCAGAGAAATTGTAAAGTTTGCCTCAAGTTCATCTTAATTTAAATCAAACTGCAGAAACATGCCATAATTTTTATTATTTTATCTCATATTTTAATATTGTTTTTGTCACATTCACTTGCAAGGCCGTAGCTTGTGCTCCATCTCCAGGCTCTAAGCAGGAAAATTAATTCGCTTCACCAGACTTAAGCCATGAATTATGCCTTCCCATAATTACTGAATATGGTCTTCTACACTCATTTCTACTTCCTCTTCCTTCAAACAATAGTTCCACTTAAGGAAAGAGATTTAAAAAATAGCTTTTTGAGTAAAAAAAAGAGTACAATTAAGGATTTCCTTTCTTGCACATTAAATGTAGTTGATTTATTTTTAAAAATTCTAAAATGAGGAAAGAATTCCATATGCTGTTTCAATTTGAAGCTTTGGTTCTGATTTTATCACCACATGAATATCTTAATAATAACCGTGCCCTCCTCTTTTGAAATTCAGAATGTCTTTGTATCAGAGAATTGAAATTTATGGCCTTATCATGACAACAGAAATGCAAATCTATTTTTAAGCCCCGGGAAAGATGTCACATTATTTTACACTCTTACACTGTCCTTTCTCTTAATTTCCTAAAGAATTCTGCAAGAAACCTGGGTGGAAGTGACCTTTGCTATTGTGTCAAAACGTCTGTTTTATTGCTTGTTCAAAGATTTTTCCAAGGGCTCCAACAGAGAGCCAAACAAGGCTGGCTTGAAGAAGGAAAGTCTCTTTCTCGAAAAAGAAAGTTTGTTTCTATCATTCAACACTGCTCAGACAGTATTTTATCAAGCTGTGAAAAAACAGAAGCAAGTGTGGGAAGAGAGACATGGCTTTTGCAGGATGCCTAGGAAAAAGTTTTCCCAAATCCTAAGTTTCTCAAAGAATTTCTGCCAGCAGTTTCCTTCCTTCCACGTGCATTTATTTTTTATGAGAAGGAAGTTCAACTTGTAGCCTCTACCCATTACAACTCCAACACTATGCCATGTGGAGAGTCTCCTTTTAGACTTATGACATTTAACATTTTAACTTTTAATATTTTTCCATTGACTTTCCATAGAGGAAAATTGCACAGTAAAAACAAAACCATAAACCCACCCACAAAAGCCAATCAAATGAGGTTACCCTAACACCAACATTTCTTATTCAGATTTCCAGAAAGCCTGTTGATAGCAAGGTGTCACAAAACAAAAACCAGCACAACACTGCAGCTTAGCACAAACTTCAGCTCACGCACACAAGTCCTACTTAATATTATGACAGTTTAAGAAATGTTCTCTTTATATCAACTATCTGGACACCCTGTTACCAGTAATTCTCTTGCTAAGTAGAAACTGTGTGAACTTTGCCTATTTGGAAAACTACCGAACTGACGATTTTTCATAATTTAAAACTCACTTTTAGATTACGAAAATGTACATAAATTTAGACGCAAACATTTTTTTTGCTGAGGAAACTATTGTTTACTACCAACACCGATTACTATGAAATTAACTTTTAATTTTCTTATTCTTTGCCACTTCGATAAAAATTCCCATTTACCTCTTCATGCCACTCTACCTGTTAAACCTGCCATGCCCAGTACCCAAATTCCTCCCGCAGCTCCTCAATTTCTTATCATCAACTCCAAGCATCCCTGTCGCCCACAGCTACATAGCAGTCACGTTCCTCAAGGGCAATGTTTCACTGGTGGCCGAGGCAAAAGGCACACGCAGGTGCAATTTCTTGCAAAGTCAGAAGCGGAAAACTTGCAAACTGTGTGGAATCATGCCACGCGGAGTTTGGCTCACTTTGCCCATCTACCGATCAGATTTTGGAAACAATTTGAGGTCCCCTGAGCTGCAAGATGCTACCACACAGACTAAGGTTATAGGGAGCTGGTAAGTCATTACCTGTACCTGTGGCTTTCTGCTGTTGTAACTGGCGTGTATGCTGCTTTCTCACCTTGGAGGTGAGAAAGTTTACAAGAGTGCTAAAGCAATTTGTTAGATACTGCCAGGAAGACCCTTGAGCTCACCATACCTTTCAGATTTACTTTCAGTCCAAAACTATATTCCATTGATCTTGCAGTATCTTTCTAATTTTTACTACAAATACAAAAGTCAAGGCTGGACTGAGACATGCACGGAGCTGCTACAGGGACGGATCTACTGTTCCGTGACTGGATATTGCATATCCAGTAACAGCCAGCCTTTCCTGGCAGACATCGCTTTCTAAGCTAAGAAGTTTTGATTTCTTTACAGTATGCAAGCTGTTGCAAGTCAAATGAACTCCTATGTTTTCCTAGTTATAGGGGCACTGAGACCACAATGCCAGGAGCTGCTGCCATGCTGTACTGGAACGCAGTAAGGTGTCTGAAGTACATCATCATCAGCAAAGACACCTCTGATCCCTTCCCATTCACACCTTATTTTACCTCCCATGCCACTGCTGGCTTCAGCCAACAGAGGGAATAAAAGCAACAGAGTCTTCAGCTACAGCTGGTACTGAAATGTTGCCTACCCAAGAATCAAACAGCCTAACACCTTGCCAGACTAAAATGTTCTTACCCCTAACTAGTACTGTCAGAAATTTTCAAGAAAGGCTGGGAGGTTAGGAACTTGCCCCAGCAGCAACAGCCATTACTCCACTGGCAGCTCTCTCTTCTAGGAGCATTCCTGGACGGCAAGGTTGGGCTTTGACAACATTTGTTGGGGAACGGAGTTGCTAAAATCTGAAGTTTAAACCATGCATTAGGGGAGCTTTTCCAGGCATAAAAACCTAGGACAGGAGAAAAGAGTAAATCCAAAAAAGTTTTTGCTCTTTTCAGATGTATAATCAATTCCCTGAGCAGTACCAAGAGAAGATGAACTTCCTTTATGCTCTAGTGTCAGTTCATTGCATTTCAGAAACACTGCAGACAGATACTGACCTGTAGGAAAGTGCCCACCAAAAAACACATTGAATATTTCTTCTGGTGTAATGTCCGCTTCAAATTCTGTGTAGTAATTATAGTGCCTGGCCCGGCCAGTGCTGACATGCTCTTGGTCACTTCCGAATTCATCGTATCGTAATCGTTTTTCAGGGTTGCTTAGAACTGCAAAAGCATTGCCTATTGCTGGAGAGTGAATAGAAAGAAGTGTTACACAGGCATATCATGCAGTATTTCCAGATCTCAGACTTTTATAAGCAGAGTAGCAAAAAAGCCCAACCAGGCATAGAAAATTTGTGCTTGACCAAAGATTGACTTACTTTTGACAGAACTGCCCTTGTAAAAAAAGTTTTACAACACTGGCATTACCTGTGATGGAACCTATTTCCTGTATCACTGATACCAGGAGAAAGACAAAAGTGTTAAAAGCATATGGAGAGTGTTGAAATATTTGCAAAACTGAGGTGAGAAAGTCCATGTCAGTCAAGAGATTGAGTGAGAATGTAACATTTTATCAGATCAAACCAAGTACTAATATAGAAGTACACCTCCATATACCATATACAGTTAATACAAAGTTAATAACTGCAGAGACTAATTAAAATGCAGAACCATATTGCGAGTTTTTCTGTCGGCAGAGATGCTCGTGAAGCTGTACAGTATATCTACTTCACACTTTACATCAAACCACCCAGAGGTATTTGGTTCATCTTCCTCCTTGATCTTTGACAGAACACGGCTGTAAACAAGTTCATAGAGAAATACAACCCTAACACAAAAAAATAAAGAAAAGCCCTTCAAAAACTCCTTATTCTAATAGACTATGAATGAATATCTTACTTTCCCTGGGCTGCCTTACAGTGCTGTTGCAGACAGCTGCAACACAGCACAGAAAAGGC